TTTGACACAAACTAACTCAGTGGCATTCAGTTAAGGCCAAGCATGTTCCACTTTCCAAATAGAGATGTTCTACAAAAGAAAAGAAATAGTCTGACCCAAGTATTCGAACTTCCCCAGCAAAGTCTAGGAGTTGGGGAGGTTGGGCACAAAACAGAGTCTTTAAGGCCTTTTCTTGGGAAGTGGATTGGGAGGAATAGGGTGGGAGGAGTAAAGTAATTTTAAAGATTTCATCTTATTAGGGATGCAGTAAAACATTTTGCTTGAAGAAATAGTTGGAATCTTGATAACATATTAATGAATGGAAATATGCAGTTGGAATAAAGCCTGAAGAGAGAGAGTAACTAGTCATTTGTTAAATTAACTGGGGTGGGGGATGACAATAGCAATTGCGCAAACCAGTATAAATAGTGGAAAAGAGGAAACAATAAAATAATAAATAGAAAAATAAAAATTAACTAATAAAGTAAGATGAAAAGAAAACATGAAGTCTGTTAGTTGTTATAATAATTGTGACCAGGTTGAATTAGTTTAAAAGACAAAGTGATTGGGTTATATCCAGCTACTATGTTGTTTACAATGAGACATAAAATAACAATTTGTAAGTAAAGGGGTGTTTAAAGTCACAAGAGATGCAAACAAAAAGAAAGCGTGAGTAGAGTTTTAATAACAATGAGATGGTATTAGGATAAAGGAGCACATTTCATAATAGACACAGTCTGTAAGAGTATAACAATTAAATGTTGTCATGTAATTAAATATACTCCCCTAAAATAAAATACGCAGGAAGTTTTCAGTTAGAGTACACCTGTGGGAGATTTTAATACATGTTTTTGAAAATTAGACTAATTTATAAGCTTAACATGAGTTTGGAATAAGAGATTTTAATTGTAAAATGAATACATTGATTTATTTTATAGAAATTTACATCTTTTGAGATCAGAGCAATGGAAAGGCTGATAAAAATGAGTTATCATTAAAACCAAGCAAAAAAAAAAATGCCAGCACCCAGATTCTGGTGTCTAATATATATATTCTAATAAAAGGAATGTGGAGAAATGCTGATTCTAGGGATGGGTTGGGGAAAGCACAGAATGAGTGGAGCATCTTACAGCGTCAGAAACCAAGCAGGAGTAAAAAAAAACCCAAAAGAACAAAAGGGTACTTGCTTCAACAGTATATATACAAAAATTGGAACAATAGGGAGAAGATTTTCATGGCCCCTGTACAAGGATGACATGCAGATAGTGCAACGGTCCATATTTTTGTAAATTTTATGTTGCTTATATTTTACCAGAATAAAAAACAAAACAAAGGAACGCGGTCACATGAAAAGGACACAGGAGCCACCTGAAAAAGCTCCCAAGGGCCCAAACTGAAATAATTGGGATTATCATCTTAAAGTATGAAAAATATCCATGAGTGGTATAAATGATTGAATAAATGTACTTATTGAACTATCCTAGGATTATACAAGCTGCAGTAAAATGAGTTGGGGAAATGGACAACTGTTTATTACAGAATTCAAAAAAAAAAAAAAGTGTAGATAGCCCCCTCTTCAGGAAGTGGAGCTTAACTATCCTCACTCCTTTGGTGGGCTGGACTGGACTGACTGGCTTCCAGAGTGTAGAAGGGAAAAAATAACTTCAGAGTGGAGAAACCTGGTAAATGGTCTACTTTAGCCAAATGATCAGGGTTAACATCACCAGTGATAAAATCACATTGATATCATGTACCTCCTGATATGTGATGAGACGGGCACTTCACCTCTGTGATACTCTTACCCCAAACTCGCTACCTCAGTCTAATCACGAGAAGAAAAACAATCAGGCAGACCCAGGTTGAGGCGCATTCGACAAAATAGCTGATCAGTTCTTTTCCAGTGTCAGGATGATGAAAAACAATATAAGACTAGGAAACAAAGGGGAGACTAAGGAGACATGATGACTAAATGCAGTGGATCCTGGATTGGATTCTGGAATGAAAAAAGATATTAGTGGTATAGCTGGTGAAACTGAATAAAGTCTGGAGTTATTATTAGTGTACCAATGTTGGGTTTTTTTTTACATGTATGATGGTAATGAAGGTGTTAACATTAGGAGAAAGTCAGTAAAGGATGTAAGAGGATTGTGAGTTGTCTTTTAAACTTTTCAGCAAATCAAAAATTATTCTAAAATTAAGTTTATTGCCCGGCCAGGCATGGCTCAGCAGTTGAGCATTGACTTAGGATCCAGGAGATCGCAGTTTGATTCCCAGTCAGGGTTCTACCGGGGTTGCGGGCTCAATCCCTGGTCAGGGGTGTGCAGGAGGCAGCCGATCAATGATGACTCTCTCATCATTGATGTTTCTATCTTTCCCTCTCCCTTCCTCTCTCTGAAATCAATAAAGATTTATATTTAAAAGAATAAAATAAATAAAATTAAGTTTATCTTTAAAACATTTAGTGCTGTCTAACCTTTAATGAACAGAGCATTCTGATATTAATCAATTTTGCAAAGAAGGAGAAAAAAGCTCTCCCAATTTATTTTATGCTGCTTGTAAAATGTTGGTCCATGAGGTGAAGTTTTCTCTAAAACTTCTATGCAAAACACAAACCCTCAGAAGCCCCCACACCTCCTACCTTGTATTTGGCATGGCAGGGAAGCTTCTCTGCTTCTGCTTGGTTTGAGATGGGAAAGAAATATCCACTGAGAAACTGAGCTTCACATCAGTTTTGAGTTTGAAATTTTAGTATTTGCAGAGTGATGGAAACCTTAACCCAAGAAATTAACATAAAATTTTATTTTTTTCACCTAAAAAAAATTTTTTTAAAACTAAACTAAATTTTAAAGAACACAAGATAGTTTATGGCTAGAAAGTTCATTACTTTTTCAAGCTAATGCTTTTATCCTGAAATTCTTATATTAAGAATTAATATTTTTGTGTTAAACCTTAGACATACTTTTATTTCTGTAGTTATTTATTATTATAATTTTCAAAGCAACTTAGTTTGCCCTGTTTGTATAGGGAAACGTAGCAAGTATTAGATATAGAGTGGCCATAATGTCTGAAATGTGGGCAAATATATGTAATAGTTTATTAACATTAAATTACAGTACATGATAAGGTCATGGGTATTACATGATTACATAAAGAAAACTTCACATCATGAACAGTACTTGGCACAGTGTATTAATGCAGCATTTTCATCAATCAATGCCCATTTATGATTTGTTGTCTCAGATCATTTATGTTAGTCACTACTGAATAAACGTGCTTTTAGCATTCCTCAGAATATCTGTATTTTCAGATTTTTTGCCACTTGTTGAGAACCCTTAGTATTTAAGAACATCTGCTTGTGTTGTCCACTATTTAAAAATGTATATACTACACAAAGTTTTTGAAGTTTACTACTTCAAAATTAGTGTCGTCATACTTTGCTTCAAAATCATTGCTTCTGTTACATTTTAAAGTTGGTATCTTTATTTTTCCAAAGTGTAGAATTATAAAAGTTAGAGATTAAAAAATTAGTTATGTGATTTAAAGATACGACTATATTATATCCTCGCTAGTGTGAAAGTGTATGGAATATGAAAATAATATTTTAAGCTAAATATAGTGTAGGAAGGAGCTGAAAAACCTACCTTTTTTATAGCTCTAGCACTACTACTTATCTCTAAGGCTTATTCTCATCTTTGCAGCTCATATCCTCACAAATATTAAAATTTTGGCTGGGTGGAAATTGCCCAGTTGTATCAAATGCTGGTCAATAATGATGAAAACACCATTACTCATCAATACTAATGCAATTTATCAGGATTCAGATTCTGGTGTTGCTATTTAATAGTTGTGTGACCATGGGCAGGTTAACCTGTTGTGCCTCAGTTTCTTCATTTATAAAGTGCTAATAATAGTATATGCTTTATAAGATTATTGTAAGAATTAAAACATTTAATAGATGGAAAGCACTTAGAACAGTTCCTGGCACATGATGCTCACTATTTGCTAACTGCTATTACAAATACACTACTATCACTACTCTTACTATTTTCTTAGATCGTTTTCATATTTTGTTTTCAATTTAGGAGGTTTGACTTTTACAATACAGTATTAAATCTTCACAGGAAACTTTAGGGTTTTTTGTTTAATTTGTTATTGATCACTAGTGTGAATGGATTTACACAGAATAGCCTCTTATTTTTAATTCCCTGGCTAAGTAAAATCGGAATATTTTTAGAAGCTTTTTTTTAGGATGGTAAAGTAGCTATTATAGCTCTCTAGTGTATTGTATTTTACAGATCTCCTCCTTTAATGCTTTTATCCCACAATTAGCTATAGGTTTTTTTGCTTTCCCCCCTAATTAGTATATATTTGGACTTACATATGGTATTTTAGAAGCCTTATTTACTAAGGATTATGTTCATAATCTGAAAATCAGTTGTATGTGAAATTTGATAATGTAATTTAATATATTTTTAAAAATATAATTATATCCCCATATGTAGTCATATTACAAAACTAAAATACTTGTTCCATAATTGTTGGTTTTGTACTGATTTTGGAATTCTCAAGGCCAATATCTTATTTGCCATGTATTCTTTTGTTTATTAATTTGTTTTTAAACAACTAGAAACACAACAAAATTGGACAAATTGAGTATTATTAAGCTGAAAGATTTTTTTAACCCAAAAATGTGTCACAATGAATCATTACGAGTTTTTTTGTAGAAAAATTCTAAAGTTTTATGCATTTGGGGAACTACTTTGAAAGGATAGTAATTTGGATGCCTGCTGTGGGCTCGATAGATTGACAGTCTAAATAAAAAAAATAGTCACTGACTTTAGGGCTCTTACAATGTATTATTAAGCTTTAGTATATTTGTGTAATATAGTTTTCTTATTTTTATAGTACTGCTTTTATATGGCAAAGAAGCTATGCTTTGCTTTTAATGTATTTCCTCAATTTTTTCATTTTGAAAAATATTTTTTCTGTTAGAATAAACCTATATATATTTCCTTTTATAGGAAAGAATATCCACCTCATGTCCAAAAATTTGAAAGTAATCCTATAAGGTTAAGTCGGCCCCAAGGTATTGGTAAGTATTCAGTTTTATCTGTTACATCTCTAAAGGGTTTTAAGTAGTTGTATGAAAGGTAGAAATAAAGATATGACCCTGGCTTTAGAATAGAATTCCAAGGTGTAATAAATAGAAATATGTAGAAAACCATTTTTTATACTGATCTTAGAATTTATTTAACTTTGAAATCATCATGGAATGGCTGCACATTCAGGTGATTACAATTTGAAGTCTTTATTAGAATATTTTGTTAAATTCAAGATTCAAATATTAGCTGGGTTATAGCTTCAAAATTGTGTTTTGTTAAACTATGTTATAATATTGTATCATGTAATTGTATTGACTTAAAGTTCTGGTTACTCTTTGTTTTATATGTTGAAACATTTTAACTAAAACAATTTGATAATATAAATTAGTATTTTTTCATAATAAATATCATGAGGAATTTATAAAATTTCATTTTAGTACTTTTTGTTTTGTCTCCTTCCTGTAGATCGTATAATGAAGAAAACAGAAGAGTCTGAATCACATTTGGAGTCTGAAATTAAAAGGAAAGTATCACAGAAACGTCACAGTGCATATCAGTCTACTCCTCTGTCTCCTGCCTCAAAAAAATGTTTAACTGATTTAGAGGTGGGTAGAGAAATTATTCTTTATTGTTAATCAGATGGCATTTTTATTAAAAATTTTTTTAGAACTTTTAACTGTAGGTGACCTTTTCTCATACAACTAGAAGAGACCCAGAAAAGTTATTTAGGCAAACTCTCTGCCTTTACTACATCATTTTTAACTATCCAAAATCTAGAATGTCTTTTCCTGAAAAGAATATATCAGTGCCTCCCTGCAACATACTCCAAATAACTGCTCTTAACCAGAAAGTTTTTTTAATTAAGTGAGAAAGAGAGAAAAATACCGATTTATTGCTCCACTTATTTATGCATTCATTGGTTGCTTCTTCGATGTGCCCTGACTGGGGATAAACCTTGGTATATACAGACGACGCTCTAACCAACTGAGCTACCCAGCCAGGGCCTTGACCAGAAATTTTTTGAAATGATTTTTAATTTAGAGTAAACTTGAAATAGTAATAGAAAAGCTATTCACGTATCCTTTTACCAGATTGCTGTTCCCACATTTGCTTTGTTCTCCCTTCCTCTGCCTGCCTTCTTCTACCTTCTCACTCTCTATATGCATGTCATCATATTGTTCTGCACCACTGGAGCATTAGAAACAGGCATGATGCTTATTTATAACTAATATTTTAGTGTGTGTGTTTTTTAAAAATACAAAAACAAAAAGACATTCTCCTATATAACTATCAAAATTTAAAAATTAGCATGGATTTGAAATTACCGTATAATCACAAACTATTCACATTTTACCCGATGTCCTTTATTAGTACAGGGCTCTACTCAGGATTAGGTGTTACATTTAATTTTCATGATCTTTGGTCATCTTTAGTATTCTCTTGTCTTTCATAATCTTGATATTTGGGAGGAGTATAGGCAACTTGCTTTGTACCCTGAGTTGGGTTTGTCTGATGTTTCTTCATGATTTAAATGTTTTTTCAAGAATCCTCAGAAGTGATGCTGTAATTGTATTATTGTATTCTTATCAGGAGGTATACAATGTTGATTTTCATGTTACTGATACTTTTACCTTGTTCAGTTACACTCTCTAGATTATTAAGTTAATTAATGGATATTTCAATATTCATTTATTAATAAGACTTCTGTAAGACAGGCTATTTACTTATATTATATTCCTTTATATTAACATAGACACAAATTCTTATTTTACCCATAAAGAATTTACTCATAAATTATTATATATTCTGTAACTATCATTTATTTTTATGCTCAAATTGCCCCAGACTTGGCCCATGAGAATTTCTTACTCTGGCTCCTTGGGTTTTTTGGTTTTGTTTTGTTTTGTTTTCGACATATTTCCATCATTCTTTGAGAACTTCTTTACTTTTTGGTATAACCGGGTGGTCTAGACTTTTTTGTGTTTGCTTTGTCTTAACTTCAGAGGCATAATTTCTCTAAGGAGCCATTGTTCCTGTAAGTGGAGGGAATGTATTTGAGCACTAGTTATGCTCCTTGCTATGGGGTATCATGTTTATGGGCCCTATCAGTGTACAGAGCTAGGAAATGTGTGTGTGTGAATATTTAATACATATTAAAATTTATGAATTCACACTGATCATTTTAATTCAACACCACAATGTTTATCTTAGCCTTTCCCACTTTGCATGTTTGTAACTCCCTTCTCTGACAGTAAGAAACCTGATCGTCTTCACTGTATTTACTTATTTGCTCAGTTGCCTTTTATGTGACTAGTCTCTTTGCATGCCTAAGCTTGGTGTAGACCATACTGGCATCCCTACATATCTTGGCTTACTTTACGACCCAGGTAAAGGAGAAAAGAGGAAAGCTCACCAGACACACTATCCTTTCTCCACTGAAAAGCTCAGAATTTATTATTTTTTTTAATATCTAAAATAAACCTTCCTTTACTCTCATGCCAATTCTTATTTTTTTCTTAGTGGAGAGAAAGAATAGTTTGTAGCCACACTTTATGTAATTTTTTAAAAAAAATTTATCTTTATTGTTGAAAATATTACAGATGTCCCCTTCCCTCCCCCTTTG